GAAGAGAATGCAAGAGGTGAGATAGCACTTAGAAGAAGGGATATCAGACCCAAAAAATACTCTTACAGTTCTTATGGTCATGTCCTTGGAATGTCCTAAAAATCATCATATTTGATTCCTTGGAGTTCATATATCATGGCCTCGGGCATGGGCCTTAGAATTGAAAATTCCATAAACAGCATCTATATATTCTCATATATATTCCTAATTGGCCCAAATATTGTTCTCTTCTAGGTAATTTTAATAACAACAAGAAGTCAATTTTTCATGTGAGATCAATAATATATTCCAATTTAAATTTTAATATTTATTGATGATGCAACACTCTCCCCTCCCCCCCAAAAACCCCTCACATTCTTAAGCATACAGCCAAAATGGAATCATCAGAATAGTTTATTTTTTTGACCAGTAGGGGGAAAAACATCAAAACCCCCAAAATCTTTATAGGAAAACCTATAAAGTTCTATTCTAGACATTGAGAAAGACTGCTATTGAAATTAGTGTTACTGATAATCAAAATTGAGTATTTTTTCACCATTAAAATATGATGGTGTGTAATCAGGACTTATATGGGAAATAGATTTATATTTGGAAAACAGTATATAAACAATACTCAAGTGCCTTTTAAAAACAAAAAAATAAAATAAAATAAGCTTAGCCAAAAAACCCCTTAGATCTTAGGACTGTGTTCCTTTTTTTTTTTTAAGTTGGGGTTAAGTGACTTGCCCAGGGTCACACAGCTAATAAGTGTCAAATGTTTGGTCTGAGGCCAGATTTGAACTTAGGTCCTCTTGACTTCAGGGCCAGTGCTCTATCTACTGTACCACCTAGCTGCCCCGGATCATGTTCCTTTAGCTCTGAATATGTCATATCTGTGAAGATCACTAGAACAATGAATGTTCGGGCCCTCAGGTACCATTGAATTGGGCAAGTTGATAGTGGATGACAGATTAGAATGTAGAATTTCCCAGCTTTTTTCTAACTCCCATCTCTGATTAAAATATTTTGGTGTGCATAGTGAAGCCAAAATTCTTAAACAGGTAGTCGATTTAGAACCTAGAATATCTGACCTTGATGGAAATTTATAATTTACAATCCTGATCTGTATGAGGCTTTAGAAAGAGAAATGTCAATGTTGGTTGGGAGAGACAAGAAGAGTGGGAGATTTCCGGGGCTGAGATGGAAATTTTGAGAAAGAGCAGATTTTTTAGTGCATAGAATTTGAACCTTTCAGAGTAGCCATGGTGAAGAGAAGTAGGAGAACCCTTAGAAGAAGGGGTATCAGAGCCTAAAAGCTCTTACATGTCCTTAGGTCAGATCTTAAAATGTACTACAAGTCACCATGTCTGAACCCTTTGAATTCGTTAATCATGGCTTCAGTGAAAGGCCTTAGAATCGAAAATCACATTAAGGACATCAATATGTTCTTATATGTATTCTTAGTTTCCCCCGAATAGTGAACTCTCCTAGGCAATTTCAATAACTAGAAGGTCAATTTTTTTCTGTGAGATCAATCATATATTTCAATTTAACTTTTAATATTTATTGGCTGTTCAAAAATATCCCCCACATAACTGTTATTTTTAAGCCCAAAGCCCAAATGAAACCATAAAATACTGTTTATTTTTTTGGCCATTCCCCTCAAACTCCTTAAAACCCCGAAAATCTTTACAGGAAAACCAATGTAATTTTAGGGAGTTCTGTCATTGAGAAAGATTGCTAGTGAAATTAGAATTATTGCTAACAAGGACTGAGTATTCTTCCTCAATTAACCAGCATTTGTAAGAGGAATACACTCATATTTTGAAATTGGTATATGAACAATAACTTTTTAAAATAAAGCATTAAAATAATCTTCAGCAAGTAAAACTAGATAGATCTAAGGTGTGTGGTTTTTTTTTAGTTCTAAAAATGTTATGTCTATAAATATTTCTAGGAAACTGAATGCCTGGGTGTCCAGGTACCCTTCAAGGGGACAAGGTGATAGTGGGTGAGAGCTTAAAATCCACAGATTCCCAGCTTTTTTCTAACCCACACTTCTAATTAAAATATTTTGGTGTGGAATGTGAGGTCAGAATTCTGGAACAGGTAGTTGAGTTAGAACCCAGAATACCTGAGCTTGATGAAAATTTAAAATTTAGGATCCAAAACTGAATGAGGGTGTAGAAACAGAAATGTCAGTGTTGGAAGAGATTAGAAACAGGTGAGTGGAAGATGTTCAGGCTCAGAGAATGGAAATTGTTAGAAACAGGAAGATTTTAGGTCAAGAAACACGAGTCTTTCAGAGTAGTCATGGTGAAAGGAATAGGAAAGGTAGGAGAACACTTAGAAGACAAGATATCAGAACCAAAAGAGCCCTCATACCTCCAAAGGGCGTATCTTGGAATACACTAAAAATCAGCCTGTATGATACCTCTGAGTTCATAAACCATGGCCCCAGGCATGGGCCTTAGCATTGAAAGTCTAAGAAATGGTGCCAGTACATTCTCATATATATTCTTAATTGGCCCAAATATTGACCTCTTCTAAGTAATTTCAATAGCAAGGTCAATTTTTCATATGAGATCCAGCATTTATTCCAGTTTATCTTTTCATATTTATTAGCAATGCAAACTCTCCCCCTGAAACTCACATTTTGAAGCACACAGCCAAAATGGAATCATGAAAATAGTTTATTTTTTGGCAAGCCAAAAGAGATCCCTATTAAAACCCCCAAACTTTTTGCAGAAAAGTCAGTGCAATTCTGTATAGTTCTATCATTGAGAAAAAAATCACTACTGACAATAGTATTAGTGATAAAGAACATCGAACATTTTTTTCCCTGAGTAAAACATAGTTTTATACAATCGAGATTTATAAGAAAAATATATTTGGAAATCATTATATGAGCAACATTCAAGAGTTTTTAAAAAATAAAACATTAAAATAAACTTAAGCCCCCAAAGACCTTATAGATCTTAGGACTGTGTTCTTTAGCTCTGAAAATGTCATATCTGTGAAGATTTCTAGAACACATAATGTCTCAGATTGCTGGTACCATAAGGGCACAAGGTAATAGTGGGCAAAAACTTAGAATCCAAACTTTCCCATCCATTTTCTGACTCAAACTTCTGATTAAAGTATTTTTGCATGGAACATGAAGTCAGAATTCTTGAACAGATAGTTGTGTTAGAACCTACAATGTTTAGGCTTGATGGAAATTATAATTTAGAATCCTGATCTGAATGAGGTTTTAGAAATAGAAGTGTCAGTTTTGGGAGAGACCAGGGAAGCTGAAGATGTTTAGGGGCTGAGAATGGAAATTGTTAGAAATAGGAGGATATTATTGCACAGAATTGGAGCCTTTCTGAGAAGCCAAGGTGAAAAAAAAGGAGAAATAGGAAAATGCTTTGAAGAAGAAATATCAGAGCCAAAAGAGCCTTTATACCTCCAAAGGCCAGATCCTGGAATGTAACTAAATGAATCCATGTATGATGCCTTCAGTATAGGCCTTAGAATTGAAAATCATAAAAGTGGCATCAGTGTATGCTCGTATATATTCTTAGTTGGCCAAAATATTGACCTCTTCTTGGTAATTTCAATAGAAAGATCAATTAAATATTCCAGTTTAACATATATATATATATATATACACACACACACACACACATATACACACAGATATGCAGATCCATCATTGAGGAAGATTGCTACTTAAATTAATATTAGTGACAATGAAAACAATATTGTGGTAATATTGATGTCCCTTTTAAAAATTAAACAATAAAAGAAACTTAAGCAAAAAAAACCCACCAACATTGATCTTAGGAGTGTGTTCTTTTAGATCTGAAAATATCATATCTGTGAAGTTTCCTAGAACACTGAATGTCTGGACTTCCAGGTACTATTCAAAGAGGCACCTCAGTGTTGGGTGAGAGCTTAAAATCCAGAATTTCCCAGCTTTGCTTTAACTCCCACTTCTGATTGAAATGAAAATATCATAAAAACACTCATTTTTGGGCCAGCCAAAAAAACACATGAAAGCCTCCCACCCCAATTTGTATAGGAAAACCGATGCAGTTCTGTGCAATTCTGTCAGTGATAAAGATCTCTACTCATATTAGTATTAGTGATAAAGAATATTGATTATTTTTTTTTCCGTGAAAACATGATGCTTTAAAATCAGCACATGTGAAGGAAATAGCCTTACATTTGCAAATCAGTATATCATCAAGATTAAAGTGCTTTTAAAAAATAAACCAATAAAAATATTAAGCAAAAATACTTTCTCTCCCTCCTTTCCCCCTCCCCCATATGTCTTAAAAGGGTGTTCCTTTAGATCTAAAAATGTCATATCTGTGAATGTTCCCAGAATACTGAATGGCTGGGATTGCAGGCACCCTTCCAGGGGGTATGTGAGTGAGCTTCATCCAGAATTTCCCAGCTTTATTGTAAGTTCTACCTCTGATTGAAACCTTTTGGCATAAAATATGAAGTCAGAAAACCTTCAAGGGCGCAGAATTAGAACAAAATGTGTCGTGGCTGAGATGGACTTTAGGATATTAAATGTTCTGTAGTACTTCCTGCTATCTTTCAAGGGGGAATGTTGGAGGAATCCCAGAGTTTAGAATTCCAAATTTCCTAGTTGGGTTAATTCCTGCCCTTTAATGTCTCAATTTGGAATGGAAAGTGAAGCTGGAATATTAGATTAAGGTAGGCACTTAGAACCTAGAATGTCAGAGTTTGAAGGAAATTTCAAATCTAGAATTGGGAACTGGATAAGGCTTTCGAAAGTGAAATGTCAGAGTTGGACAGGACTAGAGCAGAGAGAACAGGGGATGTTCAGAAACTGAGAATGGAAGTTGTGTGAAGCAGTAGGATTTTAGCCTACTGAATGGCAGGACTTGGAGGAGCCATTGAGAGGAGAACTAGAGAGGTAAGATTAAATCTAAAAGAGAAGAAAAGGAGATCTCTTAGAACACAAAAAGTCAGAACTTGAAGTGTCCTAAAAACTCTTGCAGGTTATAGCTGGAAAGGTTCTGACAACACAAGTCCTCAGCTCTGATAGCAACTTTAGAATGAAAAATGTCATAAAAGGTAAAGATTTACTTTAATACATATTCTTAGTGGGGCCCAACTAGGCCAGTTTTAAGTAAATTAAAAAACAAAAATTAAGTGGATTCTCTGAAATTAGTAATTTATTCCAATTTAATATAGTTTAGCTGACTTTTGATGCTTTAAAAATAAATCTCACATTCATAACCATACAACCAAAAGGGTATGGTAAAAGTACTGTTTATTTTTTAAGCACTAATAAAACCCCAAAGGCACACTGAAAACATTTCTATTCCATACATTTTCCATTGACTTTTCCCAATATTAATAATAATTATAATGCATGTTTTGGCAAAATAAGGTGTTATGTTTAAAAGGACCCCACTTCTCTTTGAAATCTTTGTATTGGTTAAGCACATGTTATAAAAACGGGGGGCGGGGGTAACTCTGGCTGCTTATAGCAGTGTAAGGCACTGAGACATAAAATGTCGAGATTGGGAAGTTCCTTAGACCATTGAGTGCCCGGGCTTCTTTAAAGGAAAAGTTTGGAGGTGAAAGAGGAGTTGGAATATAACGTGGTAGAGCTGATAGGGCAGTGTGGGCTCTGAATGTTAGAACTTGAAATGTACACAGTAGTCAAAATATCAGAACTGGGAACTTAGAACAGGTATTGTTTATGTTGTGTGGAATTTCTACATCATGATCAGGCACTAGACCCTGTCCTAACAGCATAGGGAAAGACCTTAGAAGACAGCAAGTGAGAGATGCTCAGAGCCTGAGAAAAGAAATTTCCAGAACCAATGGGACCCTGGAACAGAGAAGGTGAGGACTGGGAGGAGCCATAGAGCAGAGAAAGACAGAGGCAGGAGAGCACTTAGCCCAAGGTACATTGGAGTCTCCTAGTCTTTAGAGGACAGAATGTCAGAAGTTGGAGGGGCCTTGAAGGCAGATAATGTCCAAGCTGGGGGTGCCAGGAGATGGTAAATTATCAGCTCTGGAACCCAAAATATTGTTGCTGGGAAGGAGGTTGCTTGGTTATGTGCTTGGTGGGCCAAAGTATGGGGAAGAACCAGCTAATTAAAAAACAAGAAGCCATTGTATGTTGGGGATGAGTTTAATCATTCATGTCAATATATTTTATATTAGCACAGCACTGATGTTTTGAATGAAAATCCAGGTCTTCAAACACCCACACAATAAGGACAGAAAAGAAGGAAAAGAAAAACTTATAATACTCCGTAATCCATTCAGGTAAGATAGCTATCAATATTCCTCTTAATGATAATAATTGTGGAGTAGTTTTCTAAAAGAAAATTCCAAAGCACTCATGAAGAGAAATGCTATTTACCTCCAGAGAAAGCAGTGATGAACTCTGAGTGCAGATATAGTTTTCTCACTTTTTTTTTTGCTGTGATATAGATAATATGAAAATGTGTTCTGCAAGATTTCACATGTATAATTGATACCATATTGCTTTCTTTCTCAGTGGGTGAGGGAGGGATGAGAGAGGGAGAAAATTTGGATCCCAAATTTTTTTAAATGCTAGAAATAAATGAATAATAAACATGTAAAATAAATATATAATTACGCTTATTTTGTGAAAAAGAAAGTAAATATTAAATCCTCGGAATTAAAAAGAGCTTGATTTGCACTTTGAAGTCATTGTAATGATAAAACAGAAGGGAAATATATTAAAATCAACAGAATTGAAAAAGTTAAAGGAATAAAAGGACCACCATATATGTAAGGAGGTTGTGGCCTGAGAAACTAGAGTTCCAAGTCTGGAAGTGTCCTTAGAACCTGGCATGTCTGGGCTTCCAGATGATTTGGAGGGAAGAATATTGAAGGTAGCACAGAGCATAGAATACAGACTTTCCTAGCTAGGATTGATGTTGTGCTCTGAATGTCAGAACTTGGTTTGGACAGAGGAACAGAATATCAAGTCTGGGAGGACACTTCAAACCAACACTGTCTGAGCTTCATTTTAACATTGATTCCAAAATCCTAGTCTGGATGAGGCTTTGGAACCTCAATATCTGAGTTAGGAGAGATTTTAGAATGGAGAAAGTTAGAAAAATTCAGAGGCTAAGCATGGAAATGGTGAGAAACAGTGGGATTTTAGCACACAAAATTTCATGCATGGGAGTAGCCATGGAGAAGAGAGTGAGAGAGGGAGGAGATCCCTTACAAGAAGTGATCTCAGAGCAAGGAGAGACTTTAGAACACAAAAGGTCAGAAGTTGGAGTGTCCTAAAAATTATCTTCTGTGATAGGTGGGAGGGCTCTGGGAATATAAATCACCATCTCTGGAAGAGCCCTCAGAATGGAAAATAGCAGAAATAATAATGATTTATTTTCATATATGTATTTGTGAGTCAGAATATTGGACAATTCTAGTTACAATTTTAAAAAATCCATGAAGGTAGATTTTTCATATGATATTGATCATTTATTCCTATTACATAGGATGATGCTTTTAAATTAAAAAAAAAACACCTCACATCCTCAAACACAGTCAAAAGGGTATGATGGAAGTACTGATTTTTTTTGGCTAGGTTAAAAAAAACCCAAACCCCAAAACACCAGCTCATGGAAAGAAATATAATTCTATTCATTTCTTCTTTGGTAAAGACTGCTATTGATATTACATTTAATGATAATTTAGAATCTTTTTGGCAAAAAAAAATACCTTGTTACATAAAAAGGAATTAAAAACAAGACATGTTTCAAACTCGGTATATCCATAATACCTATGTGCATTTCTCCAGAAGGGTCCTTAGAATGGAAAATACCGATTTATTTTCTTATGTATTCTTAGTTGAAAAAAAAAGATTTGTTCATGTGATATCAATTATTTATTCCAATTTAATTTATATTACACAGTGGTGATGCTTTAAATAAAAGCTTACATCCTCAACCACATAGCTGAAAGGGTAGAGTTGGAGGGCATTTAGGAGAAGGGATGTCAAAGGGAGGAGACCACTGAGAACACAAAAGGTCAGATCTTAGAATGTCTTAAAAACCACCATCTCTGAAAGCTGAGGGAGCTCTGAGAGCATAAATCACCATTTCCTAATAGGCTCTAATGTTTGTCATTCTTGGTAATCCAAAAAACAAGAAGGTAGATTTTTCGTTTGAGATTAATCATTTATTCCAGTTTAATTTCTATTACACATTGGCAGTGCTTAAAAAATTTCACATCTTTAAACACACTAGCAAGATGGCTATTGTGAGAGTACTGTGTTTATTTTTTGGCTAGTCAAAAGAACCATCAACAAGCCCAAAACCCTGCACAGTGAAACCAATCAGTTCCCTAGAAGTCCTTAAGACTGTTCTTGAGGGGCAGCTAGGTGGTGCAGTGGATAGAGCTCCAGCCTTGGAGTCAGGAGGACCTGAGTTCAAATCCAAACTCAGACACTTGATATTTACTAGCTGTGTGACCTTGGGCAAGTCACTCCACCCCAACTGCCTCACCAAAAAAGAAGACTGTTCTTGAGATTACTGTTAATGATAAATTAACATAAAGCTGCTGTTGTTGTCATTATTGTTCATTCTTCTTTCTCCAAGAGGACCAATGGACAAAAACCAAGTTGTTATCTAAAGAGAATTTAAAAGGAATAAGGCTTATATTTCAGAATCAGAGTCTGAGTACGTCCCATGTGCAATGTAATAATTACCCAAGTAATACAAATCTAAAACAGCCTTATTATTAATTACATTAATTAAAATTAAATTTCAAAAATTAATAAAAATTAAAAATAAGGAGATGTCAGGTCTTGGAACAATCCTTAAAATAATGAATGTCTGCCCTTTCAATTCCATTCTAGAGACAATACTGATGGTCTTAGAGTTTAGAATACAGGATTTCCTAGTGAGGAGTTAAATCCTCCTTCTTAATGTCCTGATTTTGAGTGGAAAGTAAGGCAATAATTTTTTATCAGGGAGGGAACATAGAACTTAGAACTGAGAATGTCTAAGCATGAGGGAAATGGTAAATCCAGATTTCTTGTCTAGAGGAGGCCTTAGAACCTCATAATCAGAGTTAGCAGGGCCTTTAGAACTGAGAAAATGGCATAGATTCAGAGGTCAGAAGGTGTGGGATTGTAGCACACAGAATGTCATGCCTGAGAGTAGCCTGGGAGAAGAAAATGAGAGAGGGAGGAGAGCCCTTCAAGGCAGGGATTTCAGAGCAAAGAGAACCTTAGAACAAAAAAAGGTCAGAACTTGGAATGTCCTAAAAACTGCTGTATGTGATAGCTGGGAGTGCCCTGGATATGTAAGTCACCTGCTCTGGAAGGGGCCTTAGAATGGAAAATACAATAAATGATAAGCATTTGTCTTCATGTATATTTTAGTAGAAACAAAAAGTTAAAATATAAAACAAGAAAGTAGATTTTTGGATTTGATGTCAGTCATTTATTCCAAATTAATTTAAATTACACATTGGTAAAGCTTAAAAAAACTAACTAAGAAGGAGAATAACCTCAACAACAAAACCTGAACAACAAAGCCAAAAGGCTTTGTAAAAGTATTCAGAAAGAAATGAGATGGTTTGTTTGTTTGTTTGTTTGTTTGTTCCGTTTTTTGACTAAACAAAAAAGCACTCTAAACCACAAAACCCTACATACTCAAACACATGTAATTCCCTGCAATTCCTTCTTTGGTAAAGACTAGTATTGACATTACTATTAATGACAATGAATGGGGAGGACTTTTGGACAAAAATAAAACCAGGTGTTATTTACCAAAGACTTACAAGAATCATATTAAGAAATCAGTATATTGGTATTGTGATAGTAATCCAAATAATACAAAATGAAAAAAAATTAAACTTTGTACATCATAGAAAGGTGTAACTTTAGAACATACCTAAAATGTCATGTCTTGCAAGGCGCATAGCACATGGAATGTCTGTACATCCAGATGGCATTCATATGGAAATGTTGGAGCTGAGAGCTTAGAATACAGAATTTCCAAACTCGGAGTTAAGTCATGTCCCCTGTCCCTGTATATCCCAGTGTGGAATGGAAAGTGATTCCAGAATCAGGAATTTCAAAACCAGAATTTTAGACCAGGTAGCGCATTTAGAACCTAGATTGTCTGGATTTGAAAGAAATTTCAGATTCAAAATCCTGCACTAGACGAAGTCTGTAGTAGCTTTTTGTCAGTGGTGGAAGAGATGAGAACAAAGGGAATAAAAGATTTTCAGGGGCTCAGGATGGAAATTTTCAGAAGCAGGAGGATTTTAGCACATACAATGTGTGAACCTTTTGAGTAGCCATGGAGAGAAGAATGAGACGTAGGAGAGCAGGTATAAGAAGGCATATATCAGAGCAAAGAGAGCCTTTAGAATTGAAAAGGTTGGATCTTGGAATGTTCTAAAAACCACCATGTTTGATTTCTGGGAGGGCTCTGAGAATATAAATCATCTGCTCTGCAATGTGCCTTGCGATGGAACATGTCATAAATGGCAAGAATGTATTCTCATATATATTCTCAGTTGGCTGAAATATTTACCTATTCTAGATAGTTTTAAAAGAGAAGGTAGATTTTTAAGATGAGATCAATCATATATTCCAATTTAATTTTTATTATGCATTGGTGATTCTTAAAAAAAATCCCACATCCTCAACCACACAACCAAAAGGGTATGGTGGAAATATTGTCTATTTTTTCACCAGCTGATAAAACTCCCCAAACTGTGAAAATATGCACATAAATGCCCTTCTATGTAGTTCCTTATTTAATAAAGACTGCTATTGATATTAGTATTAGGGATAATGAATATCGAACACTTTTGGCCATTTAAAACATGGTGTTATGTAATAATGACATAAAGGCAGAAGACGTATGTTTGGAAATCAATATATTGTGTAAGACTCAAGTGCATTGTTAAAACAGTAAAACTACTTAAGCAAAAGAATCTTATAGATCTCAGAAGGGTGTTCCTTTAGATTTGGAAATGTCCTATCTGTGAAGTTCCTTAGAAAACTGAGTGTCTGGGCTTTCAGGTACCATTAGAGTGAACAAATTGGTGGTAGACTAGAGCTTAGAATACAAAATTTCCCTACATGGAAGTAAGTCCTACCTCTGAATAAAACAATTGAAAATGGATTGTGAAGCCAGAATTCTTGAACAGGTCTCAACTTGTAACCTAGAATATTTGAGCTTGATGAAAATATACCATCTAGAATCCTGAGCTGATGAGGCTATAGAAACAAGAATGTCTGTTTGGGGAAGGACTAGAACAGAGAGTGGCAGATATTCAGAGGCTGATGAGGGGAAAGTTTCTGAAGAAATGTGATTTTAGAAGAGACAATATCAGGTCTGGGAGGAGCTTTGGAGAAGACAACGAGAGATTGAAGAGAGTCTTTAGAACAAAGAATATCTGATCCAGAAAAGATCAGGACTGGAGTATCCTCAAATTTTCCATATGCCTTAGTTCTGAGGGCTCTGGGAACCTAAGTAATATGCCGTGGAATAGACCTTCGAATGTAAAATGTCCAATATTTCAAGAATATCTTTAAATAAATATTCTTAGTGGGCAAAAATATTGTCTAGTTCTGGGTAAATAAATGAGGAGAATTTAGAATTTCTGGATGAGATCGATCATTCATTTCAATTTACTTTATGTTGCACCCTTGTTAAGCTCAAAACAATTTCACATCTTCCACCACACAGCCAAAATGTTTGGTGGAAGTACTGATAAATTTTTGGCTAGTTTAATAATCCCCACATAAGGTAATGTACCAGCCCCACCTAACAAATGCAAGTCTGTGAAGATCCTTCTTTGATACAGATTGCCATTGATATGATTATTATTGATAATGAATATAGAGTATTTTTGAACCAAAAAAAATCTAGGTTATAATTCCTGAAACCTTATAAGAGACAAACGTAATGTTTCCAGATCATAATTTCTAGAAGTCATTAGGTGCAGTGTAATAAAAATCTATTTAAAAAATTTAAAATTAACTTTATAGATCATAGGATATGACGGCCTTTCTTTGGAACCAAAAATGTTATGTCTTGGAATGTCCTTAGCACTGTGAATGCCTGGGCAGTCACTTCCCATTTGAGAGCAATTGTTGGAAATGGCTGAGAATTAGCAAACTGAACTTCTAGTTGGGCATAAATCCTACCTGAATGTCCCACTTTGGAGTGGGGATATGAAAGCAAAGCAGAACCTTACAACACAAAAGTTCAGCCCTTTGAATGGGCTACAAACCCCCCTCTTTGATAGCTGGAAGCTCTCTGAGAACATGAATCAGAATCTGCTCTGCTATCAGCCTTAGAACAGAAAATATAAATGGCAAGGATTTATTTTCATATATTTTCTAAGTGAGCCAAAATGGCCAGGTCTAGGGAATTTCAAAAACAAGAAGGAAGGAGATTTTGCCTGGGATATCAATCTTTTCTTCCGATTTAATTTATGTTTGGTAATAGGAATGCTTTGAAACAAATTGTCCTTTTACAACTACATAGCTAGAAAAGTATGGTGAAAGTGCTGTTTTCTTTCTTTTTTTTTTTTTTGGCAAGCCAAAACAAATACCCCCCAAACTTAAAACATTTGGACACAAAAAAAAATAATTCCCCATAGGTCCTCCTTTGGTCATCACTATTATTGATGTTACTATTAATGAAGATGAATGCAGAGTATGTTTGGGCAACAAAATGAAGGAATAGCATGCTAAAGACTTAGAAGAGACAGGTTAGTTTTAGAAATTTTTATATAGTTAAGATGCATGGTCATTATAATAATTATCCCATAACAAATAAGAAGAAAAATCCTTATTGATCATAGTAGGGTATGACCTTTGAATCCAAAATATCAGCTCTTGGTACCCCACTGGAACACTGAATATCAGAGCTTCCTGGGACCTTTCAAGGATATATGTTGGAGTCCTAGAGCTTAGAATACAGAATTTCCAAGCTAAGGCATAATCCCTACCTCTGAATGATCAGATTTTGAGTGAAAAGCTGAAAGAATCTATGAGATATGGGATGGCACATGGAACATAGAGAGTATGAGCTTGAAGGAAATTTGGAATTCAGGATAATTAACTGGATGAGATTGTAGAAGATGCAAGATCAAGATTTTGAGGGCCTAGAGAAAAGAGAGAGAGAGAGAGAGAGAGAGAGAGAGAGAGAGAGAGAGAGAGAGAGAGAGAGAGAGAGAGAGAGAGAGAGGTGTACGGGGTCTGGGAACAGACATTTTCAGAAGCAGGAGGACATGAACATATAATGTGTTAGGCCTGGGAGATTCCATGGAGACGAAAATGAGAGAGTTAGCAGTTCCTATAAAAAAGATTTATCAGAGCAAAGAGAGTCCTTAGGGCAGAAAGTTCAGATTTTACAACGTCCTAGAAAACAGTATATGCCATAGGTGGGAGGATTCAGAGAGTAGAAATAATCTGCTGGGTCATAAAGTGGAAAAATCTCACAAATGAAAAGGATTTATCTTTATATATATATATATACATATATATATATATACATATATATATATATATATATATATATAATATATATACATATATATATACATATATATATGCACATATATATGTATGTGTGTGTGTGTGTGTATATAAGTATATGTATATATATATATATATATATATATATACATATGTGTGTGTGTGTGTGTGTGTATGTATATACACTTAGTGGGTCCAAATACTGGCCATTTTACATTTATTTTAAAAGTAAGAAGGTAGAGGTTTTTTTGTGTGAGATAATTCATTTTTTCCAATATGATTTATTTTATGCATCACTGATGCATAAGAAATGCAAACAACAAAACAAACAAACAAAAAGACTTCAAATCTTCAACCATATCACCAAAAGGGTTTAGTGAGATTACTGTACATTTTTGGCTAACCAAAAAAATACCCCTCAGAACCACAAAAGCTGTTCTCCAAACTAATGTACTTACATGCAGTTCATTCTTTAGTGAAGACTTCTCTTGTTATTAGTATGAATGAAAGTGAGCATTAAGTAATTTTGAACAAAAGAAAAAGGTGTTAATAGTAGAGAGTTTATAAGGTAGATTTATATTCCAAAATCAGCATAGTGGTAAAACTCATGTACCTTGTAATAATAATCCAATTAGTAAAAAAAATAAATATAATAACTTTACATATTATGTGGCTTTAGAATGGCATGTCTTGGATACTCCCTACGGCACTAACGGTCTAGGGCTTCCAGGTTCCATGCATATGGGAATGGTGAAACTAGCTGAGAGTGTAGACACAGAAAGTCCTAGTTAAATGTTAAGTTCTGTCTCTGAATGGACCAATTTGCAGTGTTGAAGTGAAGCCAGAATATTCATTCAGGGAAGCCACTTGTAACCAAGACTGTGTGGGCTTGATGGAAAATTTGAATCCAACTGTAGAATGTATCATATCAGCCTTGGAAGGGACTAAATCAGAGATAGTGGAAGATATTCAGGGGCTGAGAATGTAAATTGTCAGAAACAGGAGGATTTTTAGCACATCACATGGTTTAGCTGTAGTGAAAAGAACAAAGGGGAGCACTAGAGGAAGGGGTGTCAGAGCAAAAATGTCCTGAGAACTCCCAAAGTCCATGTTTGATTACTAAGAGGTTCTCTGAGAATGTAATTCTTTAACTCTTGAATATGCCTTAAAATGCAATATTTCATAAATAGCAAGCACATATTCTCATACATATTCTTAGCTGGTCCAAATATAGACCTGTTGTAGATGATTTCAAAAACAAGAAGGTAGATTTTTCTTATGAGTTCAATCATATATTTCAATTTACCTTTTAGTATGGACGGAACCAAGATGGCGGATTAGGGACAGCTGCCCAACTGAACTCTCCCAACATTCCCCTGCAATCAACTTTAAAATAACATCTCAAATCAAATTTTGGAGCAGCAGAGCCAACAAAAGGTTGGGGTGAGACATTTTTCGGGACTAAGAAAACCTAAGTGGTTAGCAGAACTTTGTGACACTTGGGGTGGAAGCCTATTTGAAGCTCTGACAGGTGGTGACAGCCTCAGTGTCCAAAACACTAGTTTAAGGAGCTCTTAGTCCAAAGACAATAAGGGGGTTGGACAATTCATCAGAAAGAGATTACAGAAGACCCTTTGCTGGTGCTGGTGTTGGTGCTGGTGTGTGGAGCTGATTGGCAACTTTATTATTTATACTCAATTCTGGGCCACAATTCCAGGGTGGAGAGGAGCCCTGGTGGTTGGTTACAAGGGAGCAAGGGCCCTAGTCACAGTTCTAAAGCAAATAGGAGTTCTAGCTCTTGTGGCTGAAGGAGACTAGGGTTGTTTCCTGGATAAAGGTCAGAGCATAGAGTAGGAAAGCAGTGACCACACTTCTCCCAGGATCATACCAGCTTGGAAGCACCAAAAAATTGCAGATTCCCAGAACTAGGTCTTAAAACAGCGGCACAAAAAAGCTTGGAGCTTGGCACAGTGCTTCCCCACTGTAGCATAAAATTCAAAACCAAGAATTAGTGTGAGGGAATGAGCAAACAGAAAAAGAGCTTCACCATAAGAAATTCTCACGCTGGAAGAGAAGACCACGACAGAAAGGGAGAAGAAGACTACAATATGAAATCTGCTTCAAAAAAAGGCTCCAAGAAAAATGCTAACTGGTCTCATCCTGACCAAGATTTTATGGATGAGCTAAAAAAGGAGGTAAGAGTGGTAGAGGAAAAATTGGGAAAAGAAATGAGAGTGATGCAAGAAAATTATGAAAAGAAAGTTAGCAGCTTGGTAAGAGAGGCACAAAAAAATACTGAAGAAAATAGCACCTTAAAAAACAAATTAGGCCAAATGGTAAAGGAGGCACAAAAGTCCACTGAAGAGAAGAACTCCTTAAAAATCAAAATTGGCATAATGGAAAAGGATGTACGAAAATTCACTGATGAAAAGAATTTCTTAAAAAGCAGAATTGGCCAGATGGAAAAAGAAGTACAACATCTCACTGAAGAAAATAGATCCTTAAAAATTAGGATGGTGCAAGTGGAAGCTAACGACTCCATGAGACATCAAGAAACAGTGAAACAAAGACAGAGGAGTGAAAAAATAGAACAAAATGTGAAGTATCTCATCAGAAAAACGACTGACCTGGAAAACAGATCAAGGAGAGAAAATTTAAGAATTATTGGACTACCTGAAAGCCACGATCAAAGAAAGAGCCTAGAAGTCATGCTGCAAGAAATTATCAGGGAAAACTGCCCAGGAGTCTTAGATCCAGATGGTAAAATAGAAATTGAAAGAATCCACCGATCACCTCCTGAAAGAGATCCCAAAATCAAAACTCCTAGGGATATTATAGCCAAATTCCAGAACACCCAGCTCAAAGAGAGAATACTTCTAGCAGCCAGAAAGAAGCAATTCAAATACCGTGGAGTCACAGTCAGGATCACACAAGATTTAGTGTCTTCCACATTAAAGGAGCGTAGGGCTTGGAATATAATATTCCGGAAGGCAAAGGATCTAGGATTCCAACCAAGAATAACCTACCCAGCGGTACTGAGTGTAATCATTCAAGGGAAAAAATGGTCCTTCAATGACATAGAAGACTTCCAAGGATTCCTGATGAAAAGACCAGATCTGAACAGAAAATTTGACATTCAAAGAGAAGACCCAAGGAGGTACAACAGACGGGTATACATGAAGAAGTAATCATGATGGATGCGAAGTTAAACTGTTGATGTTCCTATATGAGAAGATGATACATGTAACTCCTATGAACTTTATCATTCTTAAGATAGTTTTTAAATAAGTTTTCATAGACAGAGGGCATGGATATGAGTTAATTATGTTGTCATGATCTCCAAAAAACACATGAAGGGGTGAGAAAGAGGGAGAAAGGGGAAGGGAGAGGTTTAATAGGTAAATTTTTCTCAAATTAAAAAGTTGCACAAGGAACAATGGGTGGGGAAATGAGGGGATGACAGGCAATGTTTGAACCTCACTTTCATTGGAATTTCTTCAAAAAGGGAAGAATATATATGTATAATACATACTCAGTTGTACATAGAAATTAACTTACCCAATAGAGAAATAGAAAGGGAAAGGGATATTGGGGGGGGGGGTTGATAAAAGGGAGGGCAAATTAAGGGAGAAACTGTTTAGCAGCAAAATATAGACTCTTGAGGAGGGACAAGATAAAAAGAAAGAAAAGAAGAAACAGAAGAAAATGGAATGAAGCAAAATAAACAGCAAATCATAATTCCAAATATGAAGGAGATGAGGTTACCCATAAAATGGAAGCAGATAACAGAATGGATTGGAAACAGAATCCAACAATACAAGAGACATTTGAAACAAAAACACACCCAGTGTTAAAATAAAGCGCTGAAGCAGAATTTATTATGCTTCAGCTGAAGTAAAAAAGCACGACTAGCCATCATGATCTCAAACAATGCAAAAGTAAAAACAGACCTAATTAAAAAAGATAATCAGAGGAACTACATTTTGCTAAAACGGTACCATAGACAATGAAATAATACAAAATTTTTATATCAAGCTTCTCTGATAAAGGCCTCATTCTCACATATATACTGAATGTAGAATGGAGTCAAATTTATAAAAAATAAGAGCCATTCCTCAATTGATAATTGATCAAAGGATACGAATGGACAGTTTTCAGAAGAAAACTATAGTTTTTTATAAAAATCTATAGTCATATGAAAAAATCCTCTAAATCACTATTGATTAGAAAAATGCAAATTAAAACAACTCTGAGGTACCACCTCATACCTATCAGAAATGACAAATGCTGAAAGGGATGAGAGAAAAACAGGTACACTAATGAACCACTGGTGGTGTATTGAACCATTCTGGCAAACAATTTGGAATTATGCCCAAAGGGCAATCAAACTGCACATGACCCTTTGACCCAATAATACTACGACTAGGTCTGTGTCCCAAAGAGATAAATGGAAATGGAAAAGGACTGATATGTTAAAAAAAAAACATTTATATCAGCTCTTTTTTTGTGGTGGCAAAGAATTGGAAATCAAGCAGATGCGCATCAATTAAGGAATGGCTGAACAGAGTTGTGGCACATGATTGTGTTGGAGTACTATTTTGCTGTGAACAATGAAGAAGGGGGTGGTTTCAGAAAAAAAAACATGCCAAGAACTATACAAACTGATGTTAAGTGAAGTGAGAACAGGGAGATCATTGTAACATAATAACAGAAATATTGTAATTAGGTGATCAACTGTGAAAGCCTTGTTTACTGTGATCAATACATCAATCCAAGGCAATTCCAAAGGACTCATGCTGAAAAAAGGCTATCCATGTCCAGAGAGAGAACTGATGAACTGAGTGCAAATCGAAGTATAATTTTGTCATTTTCCATATTTCTCTTGCTTTCTGTATAAATATGGCTAATATGGAAATATGTTTAGTGTGATTTCACATGTATAATTGATATCATTTTTGCTTGTCTCCTCAGTAGGTGTGGGAGGGTTTGGGAGGGAGGGAGATAATTCGGAACTAAAAATTTAAAAAGAAAAGAATGTTTAAAATAAATAATAAATTAAATGTTAATTTTTTTTTTTTAGTATGCATTGGTAATGAAAAAAAATCTCACAACCTTAACCATATAGCCTTAAGGGTATAGTGAAAATACTATCTATTTTTTGGCCACTGGGGTAAAAAAATGCCAAGACACCCAAAAATCTACATGAAAACCAATGCAATTCTATGCATTTCCTTCATTGATGAAGATAGCTATTGGTAGTAGTATTAGTGATAATGAATATTCAGTATTTTTGGTCATTAAAACATGTTGTTATGTAATAAAGACTTATAAGTGGAGAAGTCTCATGTTTAAAAATCAGTATATAGGTAAGACTTAAGTGTATAGTTAAAAATATAAAATAAACTTTAGTAAAAAAAAGTCCTTTTAGATCTTAGGAGTGTGTTCCTTTAGATAACAGAATGTCATATCTGTAAAGGTCCTTAGAACACCGAATGTTTGGGTTTCCAGGTATCATTGAAGGGGGCTAGATCTTAGAATACAGAATTTCTAAGCATGGCAGTAAGTCCCACCTCTGAACAGAACAATTTGGAATGGAATATTAAGAAAGACTTAAATAGTCAACATAAAACCTAGACTATCTGAACTTGATGGTAATATAGAATCCAGAATCCTGAGCTAGATGGGGCTGTAGAAACAGGAATGTCAGTTTGGGGACTGACTAGAACAGAGAGAATGGGGATTTTAGAATAGACATTGTCAGTCTGGGAGAAGCCTTGGAGAAGAGAATGAGAGATTGAGGAGGGACTTAGAAGAAGGGATATCTGATCCAAGACAGAACAGAAATATCGTGGAGTGTCCTCAAATTTTCCATATTCCATAGTTGTGAGGGCTCTGAGAACCTACCTCATCTGCCTTCAAATGCAAAATGTCACAAATTTCAACAATTACTTTAAATATATTCTTATGTGCAAAAATCTTTTCCTCTTATAGGTAAACAAAGAAATGAGGAAAATTTAGAGTTTCTGGATGAGAGTAATCACTTATTTCAATTTATTTATATTAAACCCCTCTGAAGCTCAATTTTTTTTTTTAATTTTCCATCATAAAGCCAAAAGGGTTTGATAATTTTTGGCTAGCTAAAAAATGCTCAGACGAGATAATATAACAGCACCAAGAAATAAATGCAATTCCATGAATACTTCTTGATAAAGACAGCCATTGATATGATTATTAATGATAATGAATATGCAGTGTTTTTGGACACGAAAACCCAAGGTGTTAATTTCCAAAGCTTCATAAGAGACAGAATTAATGTTTCCAGATCATGATATCTGTTAGTCATTACATGCAGTATAATAAAAATACATTAATAAACACTTTTAAAAATCAACTTTATAGTTGATCATAGTTCATCATAGAATGGTGTTTGTTCAGAACCAAAAATGTCATGTCTTGGAATTTTTTTAGTACGCTGAATGTCTGGGCTATTTAGTCCCATTCAAGGGTAAATGTTGGAGGTGGCCAAGAGTTAGCATCCCAAAATTGCCTAGCTAGGCATAAGTCCCACCTCTGAATCCCACTTTGGAGTAGGGATATGAAAGCAAAAATAAAAACCTTAGAATAGAAAAGGTCAGACATTTAAATGAGCTACAAATCACCCTATGTGATAAATGGAAGCTCTCTGAGACCATGAATCAGAATCTTCTCTGGTAAAGGCCTTAGTATGAAAAATATCATAAATGGCAAGGATTTATTTTCATATATGTTCTAAGTGAGCCAAAATATTAGCCAAGTCTGGGGAATTTCAAAAACAAGAAGAGAAATCTTGCCTAGGAATTCAGTCCTTTCTTTTAATTTGATTTATATTCCACAGTAGGGCTGCTTTGAAACTAAGGGCCCATTCTCACCTACATACGTGAAAGAGTCTGGTGACAGTACTGTCTGCTTTTGGGCAAGTCAAAAATATGCCCCCAGACTGAAAACCCTTGGATACCAAAACAAATGTAATTCCCTCTAGATCCTCATTTGGTCAAGGCTGCTATTGATATTAGCATTAATACAAATTAATGCAGAGAGGCATGCTAAGATGGCTAAATAAAAAAGGGACTCAACTCATCAAACATTCTCTAAACAACTTTAAAGTAATGCCTCAAAATGAATTCTGGAGCAGCCAAACCAATAAATGGACTAGAGGGGGGCAATTTTCTAGCCACCAACAATTTAGAAGA